CCTCTCTCTCTCTCTCTCTCTCTCTCTCTCTCTCTCTCCCTCCCTCTCTCTCTATCTCTCTCTCTTTCTCTCTTCCTTTCTCTCGTTCCTCTCTTTTCTTTCCCCTTCCCTAGTGTTAAATACTGTACATCGTTAACAGACCCACTCCCATCCCCTGTCCCCTACTTCTCTCTGTCCATCACCGACACTGAAACTCTACAAGCCAATCAACCAATCAGCGGTCACGTGACGAGACATTGTCCTTGAATCCCCCCGTCCCCGTGCGACGGTTCACCAGGATGGCCTGCGCGTGCGCAGCTCAGGTGATGCCGGAAGTGAATTTGCGTCACTCAACGGAGCCAAAATGTAAAGGGGTAAAGCCCCGGACTGAAAGTAGAATTGAAATAATGCACCACAACCACGACGAAATCCGCTGGAGAAGGGGTCTGCTAGAATTCTGCCCGTGCGTCTTTTATTCAAGAAGATCCGTCTGCTCCCGGGATTTCCTGCGTTTGGAAGTATGAACGACGTGCCATTTATTGACCGAGCAGAGATCAAAGTCAGAACAGAGTGGTATAGCTGCCTCTGGTTCATATTGCTTTTAACGGGATTTGAAGGTGCTTAGCGTGTATGGGACTATGTTTTTGAAGTGATCGATATAAATCTAATGCCACGTCCTGCGCAGCGCAGGTCCACCAGCAGCCTCACGCAGGCCGATTCTTAGACACGTTTTCTTTTCTTTGTCTAGTTTTGATTTTGTTTTTGTTTTTTTGTTTTTTTGGGTTTTTTTTTTCTCAATTAAGATTAAAATTTGTATTCTTTGCGCTTGTTATTTATAGCACAGTTTCTATTGTTGATATTGTTGTTGCTGTTCTTGACGATGATGGTGTTGTCAATGTTGCTGTTGATGTTGTTTCTGTTGTTGTTCCCGTTGTTGTTGTTGTAGATGTTATTGTTGTTGTTGTTGTTGTTGTTGTTGTTGTTGTTGCTGTTGCTGTTGTTGCCATTGTTATTATTTTTTCTCGTCCTCCTCTTCTTCCACCTCTTCCTCCTCCTCTCCCTCCTCAGGGGCACTCGTTGTCTAGAGGGTAAGGTGTCCACCTTTCATTCAGCAGGTTCCAAGTTCGAAACCTGAAAGGGACGGGAAATTTTCTTCTCTAAAATGTTCTCCTTTCACCTCCTTTCATGTTTTCTATGTTCTGTCGTCTGCTTTCATCTCCACTTTCTTCTCCTCCCCTTTGCCCCCTTCTCTGAGCTCCTGACACTTTCCGCAGCTTTTCTTTTGCTGCTCCTTGAGTCCTTCTTACTCTTGTCTTTCAGCCACACCCCCTGATCTTATGGAAAGTAAAACTTAAAACCTAGCCTTTTCGGATAAGGGCGAAAAATCTAGGAGATCCAGTGTCCAAGTTGCGCACGTCAAAGGTCCCTTGGTGGTCCAAAATCGATAACAGTAGGCTTCGGCCGCCACCAGGGCAAAATTTAAAATTCCTACAATTGAACTTGTTTTTATATGTCCCGCGCGCCCATATGACCTTATGCAGTTGCAGGCGCGGTAAAACACATACCAAAACATCTTTTTCCTCCTCCTCTGCAACCTCCTCCTCCTATTTTTTCTTCTCTTGGCAGACACTGTATCATGGCTCAAACACTGCTGCTTGCAAACTTTTCCAAAACGAGGAAAATCTTCGACTCCGACCAGTTTCCATGTAGATCTAGTTAACTTTTTGTCTTCCCGTTTGTCATTCTTTTAACATTTCAGTTTCCATAAGTGCCCCACCCTTGATTTGACCGACATTTTGTAATGGCTAGTCGAGAACTGGAAGTCTCAAATGGTACGCCTGTAGAGACATTTTTCTAGCTGGGAAAAAAAGGTGCCACACAAGTAAAGGAATTTTACTATTCTTATCTACATACAGTAGGGAAGTGTGAGTGCCTCTTCACTCCGAGATATCTCTCACTTAACTACTCAGCTAGAGCTCCCTGCTCTTTCCTGGTAGTGTTGTAGTATCTGTGTGGGTCATCGCTTCCCTTTCACGACTTACTGAGAAAGAGAAGCGCGTACTCGTCAGTACGTGTGGAGGTGGTGGAGGTGAAGGTATGAAGGTGGGGGGATGGGGTGCCCAGAAAAAAAAGCGTATGAGTGTGAGGGATAAAAGGAAGAGGAGGTGGGGTAGAGGTGAAGGTTTGAAGGTGGGGGTGGAGTGAGCTGGAAGAGGATGTAGTGCACAGAAAAAATGATATGAGAAGGTAAAAAGAAGAGCAGGGTCTAGAGTGGAGGGGAGGGTATGAAGGTGAGGGTGAGTATGAGGGGTAAAGGTGAGGGTGAGTATGAGGGGTAAAAGGAAAATGGAATGGTTTGGAGGCGAAGGTGTGAAGGTGGATCGAAATGAAGGAGAATAGGATGCACAGAAAAAGTATGAGTGTAGGGAGGGTAAACAAAAAGGGGGGAGGGGGTGGAGGTGATGGTATGAAGGTGTGGGTAAGTTGAAAAGGATGGGGTGCAGAGACGGGAAAACAGTATGCATAATATGAGGGGTAAAGGGAAGAGCGGGTGGGGTGGAGGCTAATGTACTCGTATGAAGGTGGGGGTAAAGTGGGGAATTGGATGCACAGAAAAAGTATGACTGTAAGGAGGGTAAACATAAAAAAGGGAGGATGCAGGGGCTGAGGGGACGCTGTGATGGTGGGGATGAAGTGGAGAAAGGTCGGGTGCACAGAAAAACGCATGCGGGTGAGGGGTAAAGGGAAGAGGCGGTAGAGTGGAGCCTAAGGTATGGGGGGGGAGAAATTGTCATTCAAGCGATTTTGAGTCCATAGAAATAATTTATTCATTCGCTTTAGCAGAGGCGTTGATATTCACAGACAATTGGATTAACAGTTACACTTAAACACACACATGAACACACACACATACACACACAGACAAACACACCCACACCCACAAATATATGCGCACACTATCGCTTAGTTTTCCTGAAAATGTGCATCGAAATCAACAGACTCTAAAGAACTTCACCTCAACTTATAATGGCAGGATAAATAAAAACAACAACAACCTCTCCTCCCCCCAAAAAAAAAATAATTAAAAAACCCAACA